GGGGGTGTTGTGTGCTCGCGTCGTGTCGACTCGGCGGCGACCCCAGCGCGGGCGCTCCTGGCGGAACGCCGCCAGTGGCCCCGAGTCTCGCTGCCCACTAAGCTTAAGTCGGGCCCGTCCCTCTACAGGAGGAATATCCAAAAGTAGTCAAAAATAGTATGGGGACCACTTTACAATATTTTTGGGCATCTTTGGAGTCTTTTTGGGGTAGTTTTTATCCGTCATCCAAACTCCCCCTGTAGGGGGACAGGCCCGACTTAACACTAAACCGCCCCAACCCAACTGGAAGGCCCAGATTTGCCCTCCATTTCCAGTGGGGGGGGGATCGGGGAACACGCAAAAGACACATGTGAAGCCCGTAACCCCCCCAAGCCGAAATTCGGGTCTTCGGGTTTGGTTGGGGTGGTCTGGAATGTAGTCAGAGGCAGGGGCGAGTTCGATCCGATGGATCCGATTCGATGTTGATTCCGGCCAGCCCGATCCGATTCGATTCCGATGTCCCGGCGATTTGAGGTTGCCCCATGCCTTGGGCAAGGGCGTTGTTGTGCATTTTGGCTCAGCCGATCCGATCCGATTTCGACTCCGTGCCGATGTGGCACGACCCGCTGCACGTTTCGGTTCGATCGGATGTCCCGATTCGTCGTTGACTGACCCTGCCCCGCGTCGGCCAACCTCGAGCGGCCCTGCGCGAACCAAAGCCCGCGAGCTTTGGAGGCTGGACGATCCACCGGGGTGCCGGGAGCCAGCGCCGAAGTCGGGACGACGAGGACCAGGTGGCGCCCCCCGCAGTCACGGGCTGGCCGGGACAGGGCGGAGACGCTGTTCCTGGGGCGCATGCTCTGGAGCCCCGGGGAGAGGGGGGGAGGGGGCGGCTCGAGGTGTGTCAGGTGCAATCGGCAGGTACAGTGGGTGCGCATCAGTTTCATCATCATCATCATCATCATCATCATCATCATCATCATCATCATCATCATCATCATCATCATCATCATCATCCTCAGTATCACCATCAGCAGTAGCATCAGCATCATCATCACCATCATCATTACCATCATCATATTCATACTCATACTCATACTCATACTCATCAACCTCATCACCATCATCATCCCGCATCATTACCACCACCACCACCACCACCATCATCATCATCATCATCATCAACATCATCATCATCATCAGCATTATCATTCTCATCATCATCACCATCATCATCATCATCATCATCACCGCCATCATCATCATCATCATCACCGCCATCATCATCACCAGCATAACCATCATCATCATCGACTCATCATCAGCATTACCATTATCATCATTAGCATCATCATCATCGTCATCACCATCAACATCAGCATCATTACCATGATCATCATCATCAGCGTCATCATCATCAACAGCAGCAGTAGCATCATCATCAGCATCATCATCAGCGTCATCATCATCATCAGCATCATCATCATCATCATCATCGTCATCATCATCAGCAGCAGCAGCATCATCATCATCAGCATCATCGTCGCGTGGGAGGCGCAGGCCTGCGCGGCTGCGATCAGCATGGTGGAGCGAATTTCTTTGGTAGCCCCGCGAGCTTTCATCGGCGTTCCACGAGGGGCCTGAGGCGCATGAGCTTGCTGCGGCTGTCCAGTTTTCGAGCGCGGCGCTCACTGAGTGGCGGACGTTGCCGGGGTCCTCCGAGCGGTCACCGGCACAACAAGTGATGGGCTGTATCAGCACGTCTTCGCAAACGATGCCGTGTGGCAATGGCCAGGCAAAACAGACAGCAGCACAATCATCTTTCTCATTATAATTCGCGTTCATCATCATACTCTCTTTCTGTTTCCTCTGCCTATCGGCCCAAGTCGTGCACAACCTCTATGCCCAGGTCCTCAGCACACTTGACTCCAGTGAGAAAGAGGGAGGGGGGAAACGAGGAGAGGAAGGAGGAGGAGGAGGAGGAGTAGAAGAAGAAGGAGGGCAACTGCGTTCTGGCGTTCCTGGAGGTCGCTGACAAGGTATCCTTGGTCTTCAGGTCTGTTCGGAGAGCTCCGGGAGTTCTCGAAAGCTCCCAGAAGAGACGGGGTGCGGAGGGGAGGCGGAGGGGAGCGCTGGGCGCTCCGACGGTGGAGGCCGGGAGAGGGGGGAAGTGGCTCTCGGCCACCGGCCCGAGGCGGCGCGCAGGCGCTCGGAGTGCATGGCTCTGCATCCCGACTCTTCCGCGCGCGTGGGCGCGGAGGAGGGCAGGGAGACGAGGCGGATAAGGGGAGGTGAGAAGGGGCGGGCCTTTCAGACGGGAGAAGGCTTGGAGGTGAGGGGAGAAGGCTTGGAGGTCCCCGGCCTCTCGAGGGGTTTCCAAAGCCTCCCCGCGAGACAGAGCAAACCTCTCAGAAGGCTGAGGGCCTCCTGAGAAGCCCCGCCGCCTTCTGAGAAGGCCTTCCCTGCGCGCGTCCCCCCCCTCGCTCGCCGCCGAAGAGAGGGGGGGAGGCGGAGGGGGGAGGGCCACAGGAGGCCACGCGGTCTGGAGGCCGGGACTCGATCGGAGCTCAGTGCACGTCGCTTGTGCGACTCGGGAGTGGGTCTTCCTCCCGGGTGCGGTGTCAGCAGCGGGGGTGGCAGTGCAGCATGCTGCTGCCCATGCAGTCGGGTCCCTGCTGCTTGCTTCCAGATGCTTGTTCTTCCTGTTGCCTCTAGCAAGCAAGGTCCCCCTTCCCCCAAGGAGACGGTGAGGGACGGGGCGGAGCCGGTGAGCGGCTCCTGAGCCAAGCCGTCCGGGCGAAGACAGCCAGAAGCGAAACCATCCTTGGCCTACCCCCTGGGCTATGTTCAGGTGCTGCGAGACGTGGCCTCGGCCTTCCCAGCTTTTGACTCCAGGGCTTTCTGGGCCTCGTGAGGGGTGCTTCAAATGCCATATGCGCCTCCCCGGGCCAGCTAGGGTTATTTTGGACGCCCGAAATGGGTACGGAAAAAATGGGTACAATGCCCAACAACAAATGTTCTCCAAAACCAGCAGCGGCCGCTGTTGGGCAGGCGGCCTTCTGTCTCGAATGGACACAGGCCGCGGCGGCGTGGACAGCGAATCCTGTTCAAAATGAACAGGAACTGCTGTTGGGCATTGTACCCATTCTTTCCGTACCCATTTCGGGCGTCCAGAGTTATGATGCCCACCTCCTTTAGCCTGGATCACCAGGAATAATTTCGAGCGCCCAAACAATTGCCGAAACTCAAGGGTTTTCGCGTACTGGGCCTTGGGAGACATTGTTTCGACATTCTTTTGACACTTTTCTGGATGCTCGAAAGTATTTCTGGGATGCGGTCCTTAAGTAGGACGGGAACAACATAAAGCTAGGGTCACCTTTGGCCAGGGCCCCTTCTGGCAGCACCTGCGGGGGACCGTCTCGGCCCGGACAGTTGCCCCACGCTGTCCACGTCCAGGATGTGGTGAGGGGGAGCAAGACAAGAAGGGGGGCTGCAGGCGAGGACGACGAGGGGAAGCGGGACGACGAAAGGACGACCAGGTCGAGGGAGGTAATTAGATGTAAGCTAGCTCGGACCCAGCGATGAGAGCGGGGCTGCGGCGTGTGTCGGGGGGAGGGGAGGGAGCAGATGTCCTATTCACTCCGCCAGCCCCACGGAGGAGGAGGAGGAGCAGCAGGAGGAGAATGTCCAAGACGGGGACCGGTTTGAACGAGGTTCTGTGATGATTCGAGTGCTCCCGGTCGCCCCTCGCACTTCCCCGTGGTCGTGCCTTCCTCCTCCTTGTCGTCATCCTACTCCCATTTGTTTCTTTTTCTCCTCATCCTGCTCCTCTTCTTGCTCCTCCTCCTCCTCGGTTCTCCCCTCCGATTGCTCTGCTCATCCTTCCCCTGATGTTTTTGTCTTCTCATCATGGAACCTGGAGCTGGGAACCAGGAGCCTGGAACTGGGAACCAGGAGTCGGGAACCTGGAACCGGGAGCCAGGATCTAGGATTGGGGAGCCGGACGCCAAGAACCAGGAAACAGCGCTTCAGGACCTGGGACATGTGTTCGGGAATGGGGGAACGGGGAGGGAGGGAGAACGGGGGATAGTGATATACATCTGTATATACACATACATACAGAGAGAGACATACAAAAGAGAGCGAGAGAGGGAGAGAGGAACAATGTAGAAACAGAAATATGAGCTCGTATACACTAAACATGTTTATCAGTACCCACATATAATTGCACAGTTTTACCTATATACACATTATGTATATGATGTGTCGTTGTAGAGAGGGGGAGATGGGGAGAGAGAGAGAGAGGGTTGTGTAGAGGTAGTGACAGGGCTACACGTGTACATTTACATGTACCATGTTTGGTTCAACGAACTACCTTTGTGATCAGGCATCGTCATACATATCACCATACGAGCACGCAGCGACTACGATGTGCATTCGAACTACAGGTACATAGACATGCGCGTGTGAAGTTATGTGTACGAGCGTGTGTGTACATTTCCACATTTTCACGTAGCATATATACATGTTTAAATGTGTTGCTGGATGCAGAGAGAGGCATCGGGGGATAACTCCAACTAGAGGCAATAACACCTTACAATACTTGCGGTTCTGTGTGTAAACGGAGAGGGAGAGTATCACTACATGTATGTGTGTAAACATAATACAATGTTGTGGATATGCATGTACGAAGCTCACAGAAGAGGTTCACATATAGGGGGAGCTTCGGATACATATTTGTGCCACATGTATATTTGTATATACATATATGTACGTCGCAAAGAGAGGGGCATAGTGAAACTGATCTATATTCACACATCCATAAACATACGTGTATAGCGAGCGTGAAAGAGGGAGCGAGGCCCATACGACATTATTTACGGTCGCTTCATATAGATGTAGATATATAGATGTATACGTTTACGGTAGTTGTGTGGGCGTCAGGGGGGTGGCGTGTCACATCGGCCGCATTCGCTTGCATGGCATCTGTTCTGGCTGGTTCCGCGCCCTCCAGGGAGGGCATGGCCGCCCCGGGGACCACCGTGCCGCGCCCTTCGCCCGTGCGATACTGCGGGTGGTGCGCGGGACCCTTCGGGCGAGGGGAGTCGCTGGCCCTGGCCGAGGGCGGGTCCCTTCTGGAGGTCTGCGAGCTGTGCTACATCATCGGGCTGATTCGGCAGGCGGCGTGGCGCGCCCGCCTCAGCGTGGAGGAGAGGGCGGCGCTGCTCGACTCCGCCCGGCTCTTGGGCGCGCTGCTCTCCGCGCTCGCCGGCCTGGGGCTCGATGGCGCCGAAGGCGAAGGCCGTCGCCAAGGGCAAGGCCAAGGCTAAGGCTAAGGCGAAGGCCTTGGGCCGAGGACGCGCCCGCGGCCGAGGGCGCGGCGCCGGCGGCCTCGGGCGAGGAGCCGCGGGGAGAAGCGGAGGCGCCGCCGCCTTCCCGCCTGTTGCCCCGGGCCTGGCGGCGGCCGCGGCGGTCGGCGGCGCCGCGGCGGCCGCGCCCGCGGGCGGCGGTGCCGGCGCGCCCGTGGTGCCTGGCCTGGCGGCGCTGCCCGGCCTGCCGGGCTTCGGAGGCGGCGCGGCTGCTGGAACGCCCCGGCGGGCGGCGCCGTGCCTGACGGCGGAGGCGCTCCCCCCGGCGGCGTGGGCGCCGCGCTGGTGGGCGCGCTCGCGGGCGGCGGCGGCGGCCCTCCTGGAGGCCCTCCTCCTGGCGCGGTGCCGGGGCCCCCGGCGATCCCTGGTGCGCCGATCGCGGTGGCTGGCGGGCCGATCGCCCCGGCGGGCGGCGCGCAGCTGGGACCACTCGTGGACGGTTCGTGGCGTCAGGCCGTGACTCTGATTGGCGCCGACTGGCGCCGAGGGTGAATCTCGAGCTCCCGACCTTCGACGCAGCTGGAGGCATCAGCGGGACGGCCCTCTTCGAGGTGGAGGAGATCGGCACCACGGGCCCCTCTGGGCAGCACCTGAGCGCCCAGTTCAGGGGGGCGTCGCTGGCGGCCGAGGCGATGCGGCTGGACGGCCTGTTCCCGCCGCGCGGCGCCGGGCCTGCGGGCCTCCTGCACTTGCGCGGGCAGGGGCCGGCGCTGTGCGGGGAGCCCGCTGTGCCAGGCCGAGGAGTCCTGCATGTCGAGTGGCTGCGGCTGCGCTCGAACCGCGGGTTCGTGGAGCCGCGGGCGCGGCCGAGCGCCTTCGGTGGGCGCGGCGGCGGCGGTGCCTTGGCGGGGGCCGCCCCAGTCGGGGGCGCGGCCCCCGACCGCCTGGCGGCAGCTGCCGCGGCGCGCGCGCAGGCTGCTGCGGCGACGCCTGGCCGCGCTGGTGGCGGTCGCGGCCGCCGCCGCCCCCGGAGCTCCTCGGCCTCGCGCTGCGACGACGACGGTGAGTCGCGTTTTCGCGAGGCCCCCTCCCGCGGCGGCAGCGCACGGCTGCTGGCGGAGAAGCGCCCAGGTGCCCTGTACGACGAGGCGATGAAGAACATCGGGCGCGTCATGGGCCTGCGGGAGGGGGCGGACGGCTCAGAGGTTCGAGCGAAGGTCGTGGGCTACCTGCAGGCCGTGGTGTTCGGCCATCACCCTCCAGGGCAGATGCGGGTCAACACTCAGCGGGAGCTGCAGACGCTGGCGACCGCGCTGGACCTGCTGGAGAGTGGGTGCCTGGCGGAGTTGAGGGACGTGTTGATGCAGCGCTTCAAGGCTCTGGAGCTGTCGCTGTCCGACGCGAGCTGGCAGGTGGCGAGCGAGCTGGAGATCGTGCCGGACGCGCGGCCCTCGCTGGCCTCGATGGGCGAGCAGGGCCTGGCGCGGCGGGCGGCGCTGCTGCGCAGGAAGCTGATGGCTGATGGACGCGAAGAGCCGCGGCGGGCTCGGCGGCAGGGGTCAGGGCGAGCGCCAGGCCTGACCCGAGGAGGCGAGGCGCGGGAGCGCCGGAGCCCACTCGCCCTCGCCGAGCCGCCAGCAGGGCCGCGGTCGCGGGGGGAGCCGCGGGCGCGGCCGAGGCCGCTTCTTCCCCCTGCGGGCGGGGAGCCCAGCACGGCCTTGGGCAGGGCCCGCAGCCGCAGCCCCGCCCGCGGGTCCGCCAGGCGCAGCGCGCTCAGGCAGCGCGGGCAGGTCGCCGTCTCTGGGGGCGCTGAGGACGCCTCGAGGCGACAGCCCGCGCCCGAGGGCGGCGGACGGGCCGAGGCGTGTCTCGCTGGCGACGAGCCCGGAGCGCCACGTCTTCAGGCAGGACCAGCCCGCGGCCGCGGCGGCAGCGGGCCTGCAGCAAGGTCCGCCGCGAGGCCCGGCCCCCCCGAGCGGCCGCCGCCGTGGCGGCAGGAAGCACCGGGGCCGAGGCCGAGGCGGCCTTCCTGCGACGCTGAGGTGAGGCAGCGAGCTGATGGTGTCAGCGCTGATGATGCGCGTGTGGGCGCGACCGAGTTGGCCGAGGTTGCCCGCTCGCGCAGACCGCCCTGGACTTCACCGTCGCGCTCGCCGCCTCCGAGATTGGCTCCTGACCGTGGTGGCGCTGCCGCCGCTCGCCGCCCGGCGCCCTCGTCGCGCCCGCCGGCCTGTGGTACGGATGCCGACTGTGACGGTGGTCCGCTGGCAGAGTGGCGCGAGTGGGCTGGCGCGGCGAGTGATCTTCTGCGAGAACCTTTCGACGTGGGCCCCGTGTTGTTGAACGTAGTCCGCCAGTTCCCAGGCTCCTTCGGTCGCTTCACTAGATATTCCCTCGAGGTAAAGCCACGCGAGCATCCGGCCGACATGGGTTGTCGGCTTCAGCGAGATCTGTTGCCGTTACCATACCCTTCTATCACCAGGTCCCAGATCGCCCAGCAGGGCCAGGACCCTTTGAGCGACAAGGAGTGGGAAGGACTACGCTGCAGGCTGGTGGTCACTGTCCTGGCGCTAAACTGGGAGTCTGGGTTCCGCTCCCTGAAGCTGGCCAGGCCCTGCCGAGGTCGAGCCAACGCCGCGCAGCAGGCAGCCCTGGTCGCTCTCGTCCGCCGCCTCCTCTTGGCTACGCGGGCCGAGTCTGCTTTACCGCCAGATCTTGACTGGAACGCGCGGCTGAAGGACCGCAAGATCGGCTACGGCGGGGGCGAGATCTCGGCCCCGCAGCGGCTGACGCTGGAGCAGGTGCTGGACGGGCTGCCGCCGCCAGGTGTCGCGGCCTCCATCGAGGCGGCCGACCTCGCGACGGGGTTCGTGCGTGAGGCCCTCCTGGACCCGACGCTGGTGCTGCTGCCCGCTGCCCTGCGGCGGCCCGCGCCGACATCTGCGCGCGTGTGGGCCTCGCTCGAGGAGTGGCATCGGATCGTGCGGGCGCTCCACGAGCGCGGGATGGTGTCGGCGATTCCGAGCAGCGAGATAGCCTGTCGCGACGGAGCCGCGCTCCTGAACGGGGCGCTCGGGGTGCCCAAGCCCCACGACGAGCCCGCGGTCTGCAGCGACGGCGAGCGCAGGCCGGTCCTGAGGCTGATCACCAACCTCATCCCCTCGAATGCGTGCCAGGAATGCATCGTGGGAGACACCCCTGAGATGCCGACCATGAGCCAGCTGAACGACCTGGTGCTGACCGAGTCGGAGGATCTCCTGTGGAGCGGCGCGGACAGGAAGGCCTTCTTCTACGTCTTCCGCGCGCCGCCTGCGTGGTGGCCTTACATGGTGATAGGGCCGCCCGCCCCCTCGGAGTTGCTTGGCCTGAAGGACGGTGGGACCACGCACATCTGCCTGCGGGTGATCGGCATGGGCTGGATCAGTGCCGCGGGCGCAACGACCCACCTCCACCGGAACATGCTGCGGCGGAGCGCCTCTGTCCCTCGCGGCCTGTCGCCCAGACAGGAGATCACTCGGCGCCGACGGCTGCCGTTCAGCCGTGCCCTCCGGCGTGGATGGTCTACACTGACAACCTGGAGGTCGCGGAGGTCGTGAGCAAGTCCGAGGCCGCGACGCTGCGAGGGACGGTGCCCGAGCACATCTCCGAGGCTCGCGCCTGCTATGCGGCTGCGGGCTCCCCGGGGTCGCCGTCCAAGGACATCCATCGAGTGCCGCGAGCGACGACCTTGGGGGAGCTCGTCGACGGGGTCGAGGGCGTTCGGCGGCCCCCTGCGGGCTACCTTACCGAGATGGCCAGCCTCACGCTGTGGACGCTGAGCAAGAAGCGGGCCAGCATGCGGCTGGTGCGCATTCTGCTGGGCCGCTGGGTTCGTGTTCACTGCTTTCGGCGGCCGCTGGCGGCCAGCTTTGCCTACACCTGGAAGTGGCTCGCGAATCCGCGCACTGGCGGCCGCTCCAGCGTAAGCGTGGTCGAGGACCTCTTGATGTGTCTTGCGCTGTCAGGGCTTTGCGTCGCTGACCTGCGCCTCGAGGTCGACCCCCTGGTGACCGCGTCGGATGCCTCGGAGGCCGCTGGCGCCGTGGTCTACGGCTACGCCCTCTCCGACCGCGGGCGCGCGCTGGCCGAGAGGCGGCAGCGGCCCGCGAACGCCGCCTGCGAGGAGGAGACCGGCCTCGTGACTGTCTTCGGCGGAATCGGCGGCGGGCGCCGGGCTCGGGTGGCCCGGCGCAGCTACCCCAGCACGCAGCACCTGGGGGACGTGACGGAGGCGGACCCGGTGGCCCTGGCAGCCCTGCTGCGCGCCCGAGGCCGCGTGTCGCGTGTGCTGGTGGTGGGCGGCTTCCCGTGCCAGGTCTTCGCGGGTCTCAACGTCGCTCGGCAGGGCCTCGACGACCCGCGCGCGGGCCTGGTTGACCACATGGTGCGGATCGTGGACGGGCTGCGGACGGCCATGCCGGAGGCGTCGATCGACTTCCTTGGGGAGAACGTCGCGTCGATGCCCGAGTGCGACGTGCTGCGCCTGAACCAGCTCTTCGGCCGCATCCCGCTGGAGATTGAGGCGGGGGATGTCGGCTGGGTCAGACGTCCGCGGCTCTACTGGGCTTCGTGGGACCTCCTGCCGCCCTTCGAGGCTGAGCCCGTCGCGGTGCGGGCCAAGACCCAGGACGTTCGGCGCGCCTGCAAGGTGGCGCTGAAGACGGAGCGGCCGCCGCTCGAGGAGTGGCTCCCGCCCGGGGCTGTGTGTCCGGGTCCCGCTGCAGGGGAGCCGCTCCCGACCTTCGTGCGCTGGGCGCCGCGCTCGCAGCCGCGCCCCAGGCCTGCGGGCATCGGGGAGTGCAGCGCTGCTGAGCTGGCGCGCTGGGAGGCGGCGGGCTTCGCTTCACCGCCCTACCAGTTCCGTGACAAGTGGTGCATCCACCAGGCGGATGGCCGCGTGGAGCCGCCTGACGCGACCATACGAGAGAAGTTGATGGGCCCCCCGGAGGGCCACGCCGTGCCGTGCATGACGAGCAGCCAGGCGAAGGCCGAGCCCGCCAAGTACGAGGCTCTTCGCCGGTCGCTCGTGGGCAACTCCTTCCAGTGCGAGGGCGTGGCCTGGATCATCAGCCACTGGGCCGTCGGAGCTGGGCTGCTGGTCTCGGTGCCCTCGCTGGGTGAGCTGCACGAGAGTGCGCGAGCCTGGGCTGGTGGCAGGAAGCTGTGGGCTGGCGACGTGACGTCGCTGCGGTGCGGTCGCTCCGAGATCGACGAGGGCCTGCACGCCAAGCTGGACCAGGCTGGCGGGCCCATCTACGTGGGTCGTGGGTCTCGCCGCTGGGGGCTGGCTGCCTCGCGGTGGGGCAACCCTTTCACGATCAGCCCCGAGTGGTCACGCGAGGACGCCGTTGCCCTGTTCGCTGGTTGGATCCGCACGCAGCCCACCCTCCTGCAGAGCTTGGAGACGCTGCGCGGGGCCCTGCTGGTCTGTCACTGTGGGCCCAACCAGGCGTGCCATGCGGACATCCTCTTGGCGGAGTTGGCGAAGCGTGACGTGGTGGAGTGGCGCGAGCTGGACGCATCCAGACGCATCGCCATGGGGCTCGTCATGGCATGCCACAACAACGGAGCAGACATCAGGACCGATGGCGCCTCGGAGGCGCTCGGCAAGATCTTCCCGCGGCAGGAGATCGACTCAGGCATTTGGCGGTGGCGCGAGGCAAGGCAGCTAGTGTGGGATGCAGCAGAGCACATCAACGTTCTTGAGTGCCAGGGCGCGCTGATGATGATTCGATGGCGGGCGCGGTCGGTACGCCGCCACCAGTGCGTCTTCCTGCACCTGCTCGACAGCATGGTCAACATCGGTGCGCTGTCCAAGCACCGTTCCAGCAGTCCTCAGCTCAATAAGGTGGTGCGGACCTTCTCGGCGTGGGAGCTTGCGATGGGCGCGCGGGCGGTCTTCGGCTTCGCGTCGTCGGCTCGCAACCCCGCGGACGCCCCCTCGCGTCTCCGCGATGGGTAAGAAGCGGAGTAGCCCTGCTGACCGCCGCGCCGCCAGAGCTGGACTGGGGAAGCTGAGAGACGCCAGGATAAAGTCCTCGGCGCTGGCCCGCTACCGTGGCGCAGCTCAGCGTTTTGTTGACTACCTTGCTGCCAATAACCTGCCGCTGCCTTTCACCTGGGACGATATTGATATCTGCCTGCAAGATTATCTTGAGCACTTGTGGGCCGAGGGCGCCGCAAAAGGAGAAGCCAATGACACCCTCAGCGGCGTGCAGCACCTGCTGAGGACACGGCGCCGCTATCCTGGCGCTTGGCAGCTGCTGACGGTCTGGGGCAGACTGGAGATCCCTCAGCGCGCGCCGCCGATGCCTGCCCAGGTCTGCACGGCGCTCGCCGGTTGGGCGCTCAGCCGCGGAGAGGTGGCCTTCGCGGCCGTGCTGCTCGTGGCCTTCCATCTCTGTCTCCGCACTGGCGAGGCGTTGGGGCTGAGCGGCGGCGTCATCTTTCTGAAGCCCTGTGGCCGTGGCGCGGTGCCGTTGCCCTGGACCAAAACCTCTTGCCAGAAGGGCGCGCGGGAGCAAGTCGCGCTTGACGACCCGCTGGTTGGGGCAGTCGTCCGCATGCAGCTCCAGAGTGACAGCCGGCTCTGGCCTGGCACGACGCGCGCCTTTCACGACTTGTTCCGTGCTGGGCTCCAGCAGATCGGTTGCAAGCACCTCGCCCTGTCTCCTTACAGCCTGAGGCGCGGGGGTGCCGCGCATGAATTTCTGCTGTCGGGCGACTTGTCTAAGGTCATGCTGCGTGGGCGCTGGAGCTCGGCAAGAACGGCAAATATATACATCCAAGACGGGGCTGCCATCATCGCCGAGATGAAGCTCCAGGATCGTACCCGTTCGACGCTCCAGCAGTTCTCTAATGCACTTTTCGCTCGAGTCCGAGCGTTTTGCAGCCCGTGACCTGCTGCAATAATTTTTGATGTCTGGTGCGAGCTGCTGCCCGCGCTGCCGTCGCCAGTCTTGATATATCTTCGGCCTACGGCCAGAGGAAAAACACAGAGTGGAGAGCTTCGGTGTCTTTTTCGAGAGTCGGCGAGCTTCTTGGGCGCGGTCCTGCTGGGCTCTCAGGGGGTTCTCTTTGCTGGGCCCCCCCAAGGCCGTCGAGCCTCCCCTGGCCCCCGAGGCCGCGGAGCGTTCTGGCCCCAGTCTCCCGTGATGGTGGCCGACCCCAGTCCGCGGATGGTGGTCTGCGAATCCAGCTCTGGCCTCGGGGTGCGGTCTGTGCTCTGGCGTGGGGGGTCGGCCCGTGCAAAAGAGAGTAGACATTTCGAGTTCCGTGCAGAGGCCTCTGTAAATATAAATATAAGTGCCCATGGGAGTTTAAGCTCTGTCAACAGCTTTGGCCGATTGAAGAGGGAAAAACATTTCTCCTTAATTCGATGAGCTATCGCTCACCCCCCGCCTGCCCCACACATATATGTGTTACGTATGTTGTGCGGACGGTATAGATATCTACATGTCTTCTAGATAAAGAGAATACTCGACCAAGGAAGGAGAAAGAGAAAGAGAAAGAGAGAGAGAGAGACACACACACACACACACACAACCAGAAACGAGAACCGGGAACGGGGAGCCAGGCACCACGGGAAACCGGGAACCAGGAATTGGTTTCCGGCATAGTCGGGATCCGGGAACCGGGAGCCCGGAACTAGGGGTTTGTCGGGAGGCTCATGGTGGGCAGGGACGGTGGCCTCCATACTTCTCACCTATGTCCTTCAGTCCATATCTGAGGGGTGAGGGAGCAATCGTGCCTCCCTGCGCCTCCACCCGTGCCGTGATCCCCCCCAGTCCTCTCCTATCCTTGAGGCTCTCTCTCTCTCTCTCTCTCTCTCTCTCTCTCTCTCTCCCCTCTACCCGTCCTCACTGGTTGGTGTTTCCATTCGTCCACAAGAGGGCCCGAGTGAAAGGGACAAGCTGGCGCGAGAGGTATGCCCGTGCGAACGTGTGACGTGCCAGGCCAAAACATTTTCGACAGAGGTCTGTTCGCTGTACCATGCTTGGGTAGTCCGAGCCGTTCGGTTCGGAGCGACGGTAACCGCGCTTCCGAGGAGAGGATCGAGGAGCTCAGATGATCTGGCGGAGGGCGCTCTAGGTTGAAGGCCGTCCTCATCCCGTCACCTTTCTGAGTAGAGTTGAAGAGATGACGCAGAGTGCTCTTCTGCGACAGTGGAGATTCGTGCAGGTTGGAGGGGCCGGTATGCGTGGCAGATCGGTGGGCCGCATGAGGGAACGGCGTTCCAGGTTGAAGTCCATCCTCATCCATCATCTCTGTGAGTGAGGGCGTGGCCGGTCATCGTCCTCCGTCCCTTGAGTGATTGAGGGAAAGGCTGATGACGCAGAATCCTCCTCTGCGCCAGTGGGAGGCCTTGCGAGATGGAACGTGCGTTGTGCTGAAGTGGGCCTAGTGATCCGAGTATTGGCAGGGCGTTCAGGGTTGAAGGCGATCCTCATCCATCATTTGCGCGAGTGGGCGAGCGCTGGCAGGACGCGAGGACAGAGACCAGACAGGCGCAGATAGGGTGCCGTGATCGGCCCTCCTCTTGCACCTGCTCCTGGGGCCTCCTGCCAGCTCGACCGGAGCTGCCTATAGCCATCTCGGCTCAGGCAGCGCGCCCCAGTGGCGCTAGCGAACTGTTGCGCCGTTGCCATGGCGCCAGGGCCAAGGTGACAACGGGGAGGTAAGTCCCTGGACGGAATGTCTCACGAGAATCGCCACGGCAAGGTGGCAAGTGCGAGGCCAGGCGGTACGGCCTCGGCATGTGGGAGGTAATTCCCTGAGCGCGGGCAGTGTCAATGCGCGCGTGTTGCTAGCCACGGTAATGTGGCAAGGGGCATCTCCAGGCGGTAAGGCCGAGGAGATCCGCGCAGCCGGTAAAGGCGGCAGCGGTGTAGAACCCAATGTATCGGTAGAGGGTGACGAGGCAGTAAAGCCTGTGTTGTCTCCCCGTCTACGTGCGTGCGTGGCCCAGTCAGGGCCAGCTTCCGCCGAGCTCGAGCGGTATCTGCTCGACCACGACGTCTTGAATGTTGTGAAAGCAAGCACGTGGTTTGACTCGGCGGAAGATGTCGTCACGGAAGTGGGCGGTAATGCCCAGCTGGATAGCTGTAAACCTTACAGCGCGTTCTACGCGGAAGTAGAGGCGGTAGCGCATGCCTCTGTCCGAGGTGCTGCGCGTGCAGACGTGGCCAGTGGCACGTCAAGTGTCTTAGCGCCGGCACGGGCGTCTGGTGCAAACGCTGCGGCGGTGAAGCCGGTAAGGGTTTCCCAGGTAAGCGGCGGTCGTAAGCGCCGTAAGCAGAGCGGCGCAGTTACCTGCCAGGATCGCGAAAATGCGTTTCTGGAGGTACAATTCATGAGATGCGAAGAACTGGCACGGGATCTTTCTGCACACTCCCCCCGGATGCAAAGATTCACTGTGCGTGGGCTCACCTGGGGCGATCAAGTGGATCTTTTGAGGCCGCTTTTTACGAAGAGGGCGAGGGTCGCTACCACGCTCAGGTCGCACCTCCGATGTGTGGATCGGTTGAGAGCATGGGCCGAAGCGGCAGGACGAGATCCATGGGCTCTGGACGCTGAAGATATCGCTCTCCACTTGCGGGATGCGCGAGACAGGGGCGCGTCGGTGCCCAGGTCCGCTTTCGCGTCCCTGCTGTGGGCGCAAGAGATGTTCGAGTTCAAGTGGCCGCTCGCTGACCCAGTGGTGGAAGCGCAGAGGACAGCGTCCACCAGACAGGCGGAAGAGCCCAGGCAACAGGCTCCGCCTCTCACCCATGACATCGTGGACCGCATTTTGGGCGCCTTTTTCGTTGCAGTGACATCTCGCGACCACGGCAGCGTGATCACCATGGGCTTCATCCTGCTTCTGGCTTTCGCGTGCTTGCGGTGGTCAGATTTGCAACGGTCGGCAGCGTGCACCCTATCTGCGGATGCGATCTACGCAGAGACTTGGCGATCGAAGAAGAAGGTCGGCAAGACCCCGTGGGCCGCGCCCCGCCGTGACTGGCAAGGGCGGGACTGGGGGGGTCCGCTCTGGGCGACGATCTCGATGTACGTGGATCTTCACACTGCTGATTTTGTGGTCCCCGCTGTCCTTTTCCGGTTGGGGGCCTTCGTGGTTCTGCAGCCAGTGAGGCCCATGTCGTATTCAGGTGCTCTGAACGCAATGCGACACGCTTTGCGGGCGTGCGGCGTCGCCGGGGACGTGGCGGAGTGGTCGCTGCACAGCCCGCGGTTCTTCATGCCATCCCTAGCGGGCCAACTGCGGTTTCCCATGGAGGAGCGCAGAACGCTGGGGCGATGGGGCCCCGCGTCGGGCATGCCAGTCCGGTAGGACAGGGCGCGGTGCGTGACCGAGCTGCTTTTGAAGCATGACATTGTGGAGCGGCTTGGAGCTGGGTTCAAGCCAGCTGGGGCCTTCGAGCTACCATGCTGGCAGGCGTCCCGCCCGTCGGGTTCGCCCGGCGCTGCGCCGGAGTGCGACGGGCGGGTGGCTGCCACAGTCCCAGAGCAAGAACGCGAGAGTGTAGTTGCTGCGACGCCAGTCGGTATGGTGTTGAACGAGGGCAGTGGGATTCTGCATCGGCAGTCAGTCGAGGAGCCGAGGAGGACTGTTTGCGCTTTCTGGTGGGCGGCTTCCCGCCGCTCGGTGGAAGCAGTTTCTGGTCCTCCTCAGCGCTACGTCGACGAGGGCTACGTTCGCTGCGGGAAGTGCTGGTCCCGAGCGCGCAGCGGCCTTCCAGAGTGGCAAGGGAAGGAGAGCTCGAGCGCAGACGGTGGACCGCCGCCGCAGGACACGCGAGATTCCGATGCGGGCGACGGGTCTGCCAGTACCGACACCAGCGACGACGCCCGGTAAGGGGCGCGCGTTGGGTGGGCTCAGGGGCCGCCGCTTGGAGTGTCCAGGCCTGGCAGGTTACGCGTTGGGGGTGAGGCCTGGACACGGCCGCGTGCCCCCCAGCCACCAACACAAACAGCAGAGCATTTTGCCAATGAGAGTCCCAGAAAAGTGGGGAGGTAGGAAGGAAGGAAGGGGAGGGGGATGAGGTACGGGAAGGACGGGAGGATGTATGGTGAGAATTGTCGGGAGGCTCATGGTGGGCAGGGACGGTGGCGTCCATACTTCTCACCTATGTCCTTCAGTCCATATCTGAGGGGTGAGGGAGCAATCGTGCCTCCCTGCGCCTCCACCCGTGCCGTGATCCCCCCCAGTCCTCTCCTATCCTTGAGGCTCTCTCTCTCTCTCTCTCTCCCCTCTACCCGTCCTCACCGGTTGGTGTTTCCATTCGTCCACAAGAGGGCCCGAGTGAAAGGGACAAGCTGGCGCGAGAGGTATGCCCGTGCGAACGTGTGACGTGCCAGGCCAAAACATGTTCGACAGAGGTCTGTTCGCTGTACCATGCTTGGGTAGTCCGAGCCGTTCGGTTCGGAGCGACGGTAACCGCGCTTCCGAGGAGAGGATCGAGGAGCTCAGATGATCTGGCGGAGGGCGCTCTAGGTTGAAGGCCGTCCTCATCCCGTCACCTTTCTGAGTAGAGTTGAAGAGATGACGCAGAGTGCTCTTCTGCGACAGTGGAGATTCGTGCAGGTTGGAGGGGCCGGTATGCGTGGCAGATCGGTGGGCCGCATGAGGGAACGGCGTTCCAGGTTGAAGGCCATCCTCATCCATCATCTCTGTGAGTGAGGGCGTGGCCGGTCATCGTCCTCCGTCCCTTGAGTGATTGAGGGAAAGGCTGATGACGCAGAATCCTCCTCTGCGCCAGTGGGAGGCCTTGCGAGATGGAACGTGCGTTGTGCTGAAGTGGGCCTAGTGATCCGAGTATTGGCAGGGCGTTCAGGGTTGAAGGCGATCCTCATCCATCATTTGTGCGAGTGGGCGAGCGCTGGCAGGACGCGAGGACAG